ACAATAACTTATGTGACGCTGATATTATCTCTGCCACGTCTTCATACTTACATGCCAACTCATATATTATTTTATAAATATTTAAAATTAATTATTTTTACCACCAAAATATTACATTAATATGTCTAAAATAAATATATAAATATTTGTTCACATCATCTTTGTTCTTAATTGCTTCAATTTTTAAAATATAGGGACTAATATGAACAAAATTAAAGTAGAAAAACTAAATTGAACAAAACTATAGTACATGACTTTAAAAACTAACAAATTAGTCCTGTAACTATGCAATTTTTAACACATTTAATCCTCCCGATCAAATCACAGGCGAAATTTGACCGAAAAAATATAAACTATTTTAAATTATTTAATTATAGAGGCAAATTGGTCATTTCAGCTCTTCCTTCACCCTTCTTCTTCGTTTTCTGTTCTTAACAGAGCAGTCCGATAGCCCATCAGTCGACGCGAGTTCCTTCTGCTTACTGACAAAACGCGTGCACTCTTATGTTCTTACGATCAGTCTCATAATGCCATCATCTTCTCCAAATAACTAATGCATTTTTATTTTCACTTCCATGCATTTCCCCAGCTCATTTAAAGATGATCGCGTCGTCTGTTACTTCCATTTCTTCATGTTAATCTCCAATATCTTTGTCTGATTCTTGAATTTGGTTGTGTAGCACATCGAGATAGAAAATGGGGATCACTTCAAAGGATGTTCAGAATATGTATGGGTTTTCCTTGAATTCTCGATGAGATTATGTTGCACTTTCGCAAGAGAACATCCATTGGTGTCGCAAGTTTTAATTTTGTAATCGTCCTCATATTGTATGTGTTCTTGTCAACAATATTCTGGTTCTTCATTTATTCCGTTCCTATTATCCTCATATGTGTTATGGCTCAACTAGCTCCGCTGCAACTCTCTGCTAGAAAGGAAGAAGGAAGAGCTGAAATGACCAATTTGTCCCCATAATTAAATAATTTAAAATAGTTTATATTTTTTCGGCCAAATTTTGCCGGTGATTTGGCCGGGAGGACCAAATGTGTTAAAAAACGCACAGTTACGGGACTAAATTGTTAGTTTTTAAAGTTAAGTACTGAAATTAACACACCTCCTATAGTCATAGGACCAAAAGTGTAATTTGCTCACCTTATAGGTACCAATCATTATTGCATGGACCATGGTCCACACAATTGTGTGAACCATAAATATACTTTTTAATATACCAATGGTACATTATTTATGTACGTAAGACACATTTTTTTAAAGTACATTTTTAATATACTAAAAATACATTATTTTATATAATATACTTTTAGTACAAAAATAATGTACTTTTAATATATTAAAAATATTTTTCTTAAAAAAAAAAAGGGAAAATGGCACTTTTTACCCCTGAGTTATATACTTATAGCACTTTTTTCCCCTCAATTATTTAGGTAAGCACATTAGCCCCCTCAATTATTCTAAAAGTGGTGCCTTTTCCCCCTAATATATTAAATTGACATTTATACCCTTAAAGTAAACATTTTATTTATTTTATTACTCCAACAAATTATTGCGTATACGTAGAGATGACCACGGTTCGGTTTGAATTGAACCGGATACTAAAGCAATCGAATTAATAGTTTACGGTTATAATTCAGATCTAGAACCCAATATTTAAATGTCAATTTATTAAAATTATGTATCAAAAAATTGAATCTTGAACCGTGAACCGGCGGTTCCGGATCTGATTCGCGATTTTGAACCGTCTTTATTTTAATTTTTTTTTATTTTAAAATAGTCTAAATTCAACAATAAATGTATTTTATTTTTTCAGCTCAGAACATGAACCGTCCGTTCCGGTTCACGATTTTAATAAACTCTAAATATCGAATTTCGATTCTAAATTGTAATTGGAATATTTCGGTTTGGTTGCTATAGTGTTTGTTTAGTTTGAACCAAATTATGGTCATAATTTGTTGGAAAAAAAATTAAATATTTAGTTTAAGGGTAAATATGTCCATTTAATATTTCAGGGGGAAAAACAGCCACTTCAATAATTTAGGGGAAAAAAATACTATAGGCATATAACTCAGGGGGAAAAAGTGCCATTTTCCCAAAAAAATAAAATACCTGATATTCATGATCCAGTGATCCACACAAAAATTTGCCTATATGTACTTTGACCAACAATTGCCCGTCATGATATTACATCCAATTCATTAGGTTAATGCAATTATATTTGTGGGCTTTTAATTTGGATCTATCGACCTAATTAATGCACACCACTAATAAATATGAGTAACACTAAATTTGCCTGTATAGACTTAGCTCACTAGTTTAGTAGACAGTATTTAGAAAAAGAGACCAAGATTTGAATTTTGGTAACAACAATGTAAGGATTATGTCAAAGTGGCCAGACAGATCTCTTGTACACACCGGCATTTAGCGCTGTCTATGAGTTACCGTGATTTACTTCATCTCAAATGCTCTGTTGAATTGGGAATTCAACCTTTTTTTTTTGAATGCTACTAGCTCTATTACATTGTAGTATCTGTTCATATACTTTCTCAACCTACTGAAACACAACGAGCTAATAACGCCTCCATTGAAGCTCGAACTTACAACCTTCCAAATGGAAGTCCAACCCGGGTACCATTAGACCACATAGTCCTGGTAAGTAACTGTATATTTACTTTTACTTTTTATTCAATTATTTTAACACCCTACTAACATGCTCTTATTTGATCCCAAAAAAGAATAACAAAAAACAAAAACAAAACAAATATCCTATTATAGATTTTTTTTTTTTTTTGGGGTTCAATAAAATCAAAATATGTGATGATAATTTTACCCTCTAAAAATACACTTATCATTTTTTTCCCTAATATATACAAAGTAATAACTTCTTTTTAGATGATACGAAAATTTGAGCCGATACTCATGGTCAAGTTGGGATATGTAATTCTTTTGCATAAATTAAAGTTTTAAATTGGAGTGTCACATCATATATTGAATAAATGCGTCTTCATTGTCTTTTTGTGTATATATTTATTTTCGAAGAGTATTAGTGGACTTACTAGGATTGGTAATATTCTCTTGAAAATTTAGTGATTAGTTGGTAATTAAGGAGTATAAACTTATAATTGTAATAAATCGAATAAAAATTTAGTAATGATAAAAATTAGTATTTGTGGTAGTTTATTGAGTAAGGATAAAAATTAAAAACTTTCTTCGAAAAAATAAAAATTAAAAACTAGTATTTTTGGTAGTTTAACGCACATGTAAGCACATGGTAGGTATTTTGATATTTCTAATTTAGTCAATTGTAACATAAGCACGTGAAGTTTTTATTTTCAAATTAAACTATAAGCTAAAAGATCTTCAATTCATATTCCGCTTTTGGATTTGTGCACCAAACTAAAAGAGAATTGTTTGTATTACTAGTTTTTTTTTTAATATTTTTATGCCTAAATTATAAGAAAATTAATTTGTTATTTCTGTCATATTTATTATTTATTGGTCAAATTAATATTTTAATTAAAAAAAAAGTTCAAACTAGCTACTTAACTACATCTAAAAATGCAATTGGATCATCCAACTCAAAAAAACTGCAATTGGATACCTAAACTATCTAAAATAATACAATTTGACTAAAATTAACATGTCATCTGGTTATCGCTAACTATTGCAGACTTCCTATTAAAATTTTGTTTTTTAAAAAAATGTTAATAATTTTAAATAAAAAATAAATAAAAACACACCCCTTCCCCTCTTCGTCTTGGTGAAGAGCTATTTCTTCGTCTCCAGGCTTGAGACAAAGAGCTTTCTTCATTTTCAAGCCGAAGATAAAGACGGTTTTTTCGTCTCTGGTGGGAGACAAAGAGGGGAGGGTGGGAGTGTTTTTTTTTTTAATTAGTTTTATTTTATTTAAAATTATTAAAATAAATTTTAAAAATAACTTTTTGAGTAAAATTTATTTTTGGTCTTAGATTTATAGGTGTTATTTCACTTTTAATCATTTTTTTTTCAAATTATCTCTCTTTGATTTTAGTATTTTTGTAGCATGATCATGTTTTGTCATCTATTAACAAACATGTTTAAATGACATTAAATATGCGAGCATTTCAGTTTATTCGGTTTTAAGTGTTAATTCTTTTTCTTTTTTTTTGGCCCTAAACTTTTCGTTCCACTTTTAGTCGTTTTTTTTTCTTTTAAAAAAAAAAAAAAAACATATACGTTGGTCCTAATATTATTATGACATGATAATTTTTTTGTCATTTAAACATATTTGTTGATAGATTACCAAAAATGACCATGCCACAATAATGTTAGGGCCAATATGGTTATTCTAAAAAAAAAGGATCAAAAGTAAAATGACACATATAAGTCTAGAACCAAAAAAATGAATTCCACATAGAACTGAATAGACTAAAATGGCCTTCATATTTAACGTCATTTAAACATGTTTGTTAACGGATGACCAACAATGGTCATGTCACGACTATAAACTTCTTGTGAGAGGCGATGCGTCAGCCAATCGGGGCAGTAGTTTCACGGCCTGGAGGCGTTTGTGGAGGATGCCAGTACCCCCGAAAGTGAGGAATCAACTGTGGAGGTGTGCATGAGGCATTCTACCGATGAAAGAAGTCTTGAAGCTACGTCGCGTGTGGATCGGTGGGGGTTGTCCGTTATGCGACTATTCGACCGAGACAGTGGAACACTTGTTTTGTGAGTGCGCCGTGGCCAAGCGGGTATGGGAAGATGATGAAATCGACACTCACAGCTGCAACCATGGACCAGCTGGCGGTTCGACTAGCAGCCATCTTTTGAGTTATGTGGAGCACCCGATCGAAACGACAAGGTTTAGCGCGATGAATCAAAATCCATCGAATCGCTTCTCAATCAGCTGCGGGCTCTGCAGTCACTATGGTCGTCTACTAGGCGAATATCTGGAGCTGCGTTATCACCTGACTCTTCGACCACCCTCTGGACTCCGCCGCCGCGTGACTGGATGAAGTGCAATGTGGACGCCGCTCTCTTCACTGATGGGGCAGGCTTTGGAGCCGTTGTTCGAAGTCATGAAGGCCGCTTCATTGCAGCTAAAGGCGGTAGGCTCGGATGTATTCAAGATCCTTTACTGGCGGAAGCTTATGCAGTTGAACAAGCTTTGGACTGGATAAGAAGTTTTAATTTTAATAATGTCATTGTTGAAATTGATTGTTTAATGTTTTCTTCTACTTTTAATTCCCGGCATTCTGATTTTTCGTATGTTGGTTCAATAGTGAAGCAATGTATTCAAATTGCTAGTGACATTGGGAACGTTCAGGTTCGCCATGTCAAGAGGTCAGTGAATCATGTAGCTCATGTGCTTGCACGGGCGACTGGTTCCTCGTCTGTCCTAGGGTCGTGGTCTTCTCACCCACCCTCTTGTATCGCTGCTCTTATTAGCTATTAATGAAAGTTTTCTTTGTGTTCAAAAAAAAAAAAAAAAAAAACAATGGTCATGTCACAATAATACTAGGATCAAATGGGATGTTTTAAAAAAGAAACATCTATAAATTTAAGACTAAAAATAGAATTATTAGTTGATCAAATTGCATAATTTAGACACTTCAGTGACTCAATTGTAATCTTTTGAGTTGGATGACCCAACTGCATTTTCGAGTATAATTTGATAGTTAATTTGAACTTTTTTCCTTTTAAATTTTGTTTTTGTATTTAATAAAACTTTTTGAAATAAATATTTTATTTACTAATATAAAATTAAGTATTAACAAAAAAATTGTAAATTAATTAAATCAAGACTCGTAATCTAAATAAGACGATAAGATATTGGGAGTATTTGTTTACTAAAACGTTGCACTTATGCCAAGCACATTGTGTTTAGATGGCATGTAGTGACTCTTCCATATGGGAGGTCATGAGATTGAGTCTCAGTGGAGGCGCCATGAGCAGATACTATCATGTAATAGAGTCAGAAGTTTTCAAGAGAAAAAAAAAAACATTGCACTTATGATGTAATATCCTTTCTCTAGTTACGAACGTAACCTGAAAATGCAATTTACTTACGTGAATGGTGAGTTAGCATTTTAAATAATTTTTAATAATAAATTTTAAAAATAAAAAAATAAAATAAAAATGCCGGGTTGGCTGGCCACCCCTTCCCCCCTCCTTCGTCTCCACCGGAGACTTCATCTCCGGTTGAAGACGAAAATAGATCTCTTCATCTCCAACCGAAGACAAAGGAGAAAGGGGGGAGGGGTAACTGGCTTATTTTATTTTATTTTTTATTTTTTTAAAGTTCATTATTAAAACTACTAAATCATCATCCATATTAGTAGGGGTGGTTTTAGATTTTTCTTCTATCTCCGAACTAATGAATTGAGTTCGTATAGGCATTTTGGATGCTGCTATTGAAATAGCTCTTCTGGCAATCTTTTTTGTTACTCCACCCATTTCATAAAGTATTCGACCGGGTTTCACAACAGCTACCCAATATTCAGGGGATCCTTTTCCCGAACCCATACGTGTTTCCGCGGGTCGTACACCTCTTTGAGTGAATCGAGAAATAGGTTTGATTGTCCATCTTTTTGATATAGATAAGGCATTCTCCGGATAATTCAAATCGAAGCAATTGGATGTCCAACTCGGGCCTATATGACATGACCGATCTATAGAAAGACTCCACCTTTGTCATATATTCCATACATTACACTAGATAGATATCATATTCATGGAATACGATTCACTTTCAAGATGCCTTGGTGGTGAAATGGTAGACACGCGAGACTCAAAATCTCGTGCTAAAGAGCATGGAGGTTCGAGTACTCTTCAAGGCATAATATTGAGAATGCTCATTGAATGAGCAATTCAACCTGCTATCAGATAAAATTGCATATAATTAGGGTATTCAGTGGTCTAATTATACTTTTTTTTTTTATTCAGTGACCTAATTATATTTTCAAGTTACGTTCAGTAGTTAATTTGAACCTTATTCATTTACCACATGGAGTATCAAGGCAATAGTAATTCTTTGTTCTAAAAAATGAAATTCAAAAATCAATAAGCAAAGTTGTCCCACTTAGAAATAACGAAGTATCAACATTTAGAACAGATTTGGAACTTTTATATATATATATATATATATATATATATATATATATATATATAAAAGTTCCAAATCTGTTCTAAATGTTGATACTTCGTTATTTCATATATATATATGCAACATACATGATACATACTTACATTAATGAGCAAATTATACCATGGACTAGGGTCTACATCACATTGTGAACCATGATCCAAAACGATATTCAAATTATGTACCACATTAATATATTATGTAACTTTAGTTAACAAATTATGTACTTATAAATAAACTAAAAGTACATAATATATTAGTTGTAATAGAGACATAATTTATTAACTGAAAGTTCATATACATTAATTTTAATATGTACATAATTTATTAACTACATGTACATATGTTAATTGCAAGTACATAACATGTTAATTGTAATAATTACATAATTTATTAACTGAAGATACATAATATGTTAATTGTAGGTATATAATCATGATATAACAATTGACATTCATGTATATAGGCAATTAGACACACTAAGTACCCGCATGGACAGCTCAACTAGTCACAAAGGTAATATTCGTCACAAAAGACCTGGGGTCAAGTCTCACTAGTTGTCCGTATTGGCCTCTGTTGATCAATTGAATTATCATAATTTATCCTTCCACAATTCTGTCAGGTAGGTGTGGGAAAACCTAGGATGGGTGTCACAATTAGGCACATTCGGTGTAATAAAGTACTTCACGGGGATCAATTGATGTGCTCAAAAAGTAGTTAGGCTTACTGTTAGCGTGCTACTCAGTCAGTATAATATATACATATACATATATATATATATATATATATTATAGGATTATTTTCATATACAAACCTCCCCGTAAAATACAAAATCTCCCTTAAAATACAAAATACAAACTGTGTGCATGTAAATATGTTAATGTGTGCACGAACTAATCTTAGCACGTGCACACATTAACATACTTACATGCACACACGTGTAGGAGGAAAAATCACAACCATCTATCAAAGCTCGTGCACACATTAACATACTTACATGCACACAACGCGTAGGGGGAAAAAATCAGGACCGTCCAATACCACCATCCAACGATGTCAAATTGTCCACAGGTTTTTATTTTAAGATGTGTTTTTACCTGAATGTAATTCTATATATATATATATATATATATATATATATATATATATATATATATATATATATATATATATATATATATATCTATATATATATATATATATTATAGTTGGGTGGGTAGTAATAAGGTTTCATGGATAGCAGTAAATTGTACTAACTACTAACAATAAAGATAGGTTGCATAGTGACAGTGACGAGGTAGTTGTGAGCTATTTTCTCAGCCATAATGGCTGCTGAAATGCCGTGACACTTGCTGCCTTCCATTAATAAATATGTATTTTTTAGTACTTTCTGACTCTGTTTCAATGTAGTATCTGGCTGTACATACTTTCTTAATCTATTAAAGAACAAAGAGTCAATGTCCCCGCCAAGGACCTCGTAATCAATAACACCAAGTTGCTCCTTCATATGAGAGGCTGCGGATTCTAGCCTTAGTGGAGGCGATATTAACTCTTTGTGCTTCAATAGGTTGAGAAAGTAGTTACGGACAGATATTACATTGTAATAGAGTCAGTAGTATTCCAAAAAAATAAAAGAGTCAATGTCCCCATTAAAATTCGTTCAATTTTCTATTTCCAACTTCTACTCCACCTCGCAAGTGCTTAACTTTTCCTAGAACCCACACGATGAAAATAGCATATGCCATATCATGGAATAAAAGTGAGGGAGTAAAATTCAAAAGTACATACTCGATAACATATTATGTATCTGCAGTTATCATATTATGTCTCCTCACCAAAAAAAAATTATCATATTATGTGTATGTAATTACTAAATGTTATGTGTCTTCAATTTATTTACACCGCACATAAATTGTTAATTGCATGTAAGGAATATGTCAGCTGCAAACACATAAATGCAATGTAAACCCTGATCTATGGTATAATTTGCCTATTAAAACAACATTTCAAACTCATCGTTCAGGATTGATAGAACCATGATACATTGAATGTATTTCCAAAGGAATGACAATAAAAAAAAAAAAAAAAAAAAAAAAAAAGTTAAAATGCAATGACATTTAAAAAAAAAAAAAAAACAATTCCATCTACCATACCTCAATTGAACTTAAATGCAGGATTGGCAGACAATACAAGAGCATTCAACTGATCCACTATCAGCCTCGGTACCAATTCATCACTCCGATGATTCATTTCATCGCCACTTCTATACCATGTCGGGGGCGATCTGCCATGTTTTCTGCCTGCTTCACTGCAGTTCCAAAATCATATTTGCAGATAAGCTACTACAGCGTTACTCCAGGGCAGAAACAAATAAGAAGCTTTTTTCACAATTCTTGATAGGCAGATTGTCACAGTTATTAAAAAGCAAATAAAACAGTACCTTGTAATACCATAGGCATCCTAATACAACACTTACTTTAGCACTTCCCATTCTTCACTTTTTCACCAAACGAAGGGAATGAAGGGAAGGAGAAAATACTTCATTGGGAAAGTCGGAATGAAGGACACACGCATGCGCATATATAAGACAATCCAGAGCCCAGAGGCAATCAAAGGTTATCTACATATACATACTCGGAAGGATCAAGTAGGAAAAACAATAACATTTAAAAACATCAAAATTGAAAGTAGTGTATTACATACAAGTTGTGCACGTTCATTGGGAGTCCTATAGAGGTAGGCCTTCTAACAGGTCCATAAATATTGTGCCAGTAGTCATGAAATACTAACTCGGGAGACCACAGCACTTCATTCCATTTCCTCAAAAACAGCAGCTGTACAACTACCCACCCCATCTTAGCTTTATCACACGTAGGTTTGCTCAAAATTCAAGCAACTTTTGAGTTACCAAGAGAAAGCTAGACACACATCAGCTATTTATATAGGTCACAAGCACTTGTGAGCCGGTGATTGAGCAGCTGCAGGCAAAATTTTCAATATCATCAGCTGAATGCCTGAAGATGTTCATACCTTGACATATTTATCAACATAGCCCTGCAAAATTTCACATAGTGAGGAAGACGTGCTCAATTAGAAAAAGAAGAGGAAAAAGAGGAGCTACATTTTAGATATGGTAAAGGGTTATTTAAAAAAAAAAAAAAAAAAAAAAAAAAAAAAAACACACTGTTGGAGCTCAAAATGACTCATTGGTTTGTCAGAGCTGTTGCTGAAATGAGTCATGTCAGAGGACACGAGTACATGACAGCACTTATGTATATTTTATCCGAGTTCTTGAAAATTTTTATTTTCTA